CTCTAGTGCTTGGCAAACAAAACCAGTGAGCATGATTGTGTAGGCCCGAAAAAGCTCAGATGCGTCGTGATATAGCGCTCGAATGGTGGAAACGGTCGTCCTTGGGACGAACAACGACGAGATCCATCTCCAGTAAGTCGCTTGTTTTTCGGTCCAACTGTGTACGAATGAAGACTTTGCAAGGCATGCAATGAACCCTCTACCTCCCCCGGTCTCATTTCCTCCGCTCGCCGTTTGCTTCTTTTTCTTGACGCAGCAACGCCCTCGAAGATGTTTCGAACCATTACCCAGATGGCCAAGCAGGCACCGTTTCTCACCAGCGCGGTAGAAGCAGCGCAAGCACCAAAAGCCGTGGGACTGTCAGCGCACGCAGCAGTAGCCACGGGGGCTCTAACGCCGCCGGTTCTGTGCAGCGCAGCAGGGGCAGCACTGGCAGCGTCGTCAGCGGACCTGTCAGCCCCAACTCGACATACAGCAGGTGACCTCAAACCTCAGCCTCAAAACCGTTCTCTCGCTTGTGTAGACGCTGTTTGTAGGTCTGTCCTTAAATGTGACCCGGGGGGAAATGTTGCGTTTTCCTCGAGCTACGTAATGTACAGCATCAGCAGCATCACCCAACCGCACCACCAGCAACAACAAAAAATCGAGAGCATCCATGAACTAGGCGCACGAATGCACCTCACACAAGACAGGGAAGCGTTAACTCCGCGCGCGTTGCGCTGCACCACCGCGCGCACCCTCACCGGGAGGATCGCCGAAGCTTGCATTTCACACACCTCCCCTCCTCCTCGCCCCCCGTCGCAACTTTCCCGCGCCCCGTCCGATGATATTCGTTCCGCCGTTCGCAAAAATCCCGAACGAAACAACCTTAAGGTCGTCGAGCGCTTACAGGGGACGCCGCTAGCTGCAGGTAGAGCACCCCGTAGTCGAGACCCAACGTGTGCTTTAGTTGGTTCCTTCAACGGCGACAAGTTTTGGAAGGGAAGACCAAGCCGGAACCTGCGGTAGGCTTTTTTACTCGCGAGGGTGGGCCAAGAGTCAACACATCCACCTTACAGCGAGCGTAGCTTCGGCGGTCTTGAAGTTGAGGGGGGGGGGGGG